GTAGACGCTTCATATTCCTTCTTTTCCTCACGAGCCTCATAATTAATCTTTCTTTCTCTTTTTTTTTCACAGGTGCACAAATCATCCCGTATTCTTGTAGGGTACGGGGAAGGGTCGCACTCCTAGGAGTACAATGTAAATCGCATATCTTAACGCAAGCATTAATGGCTGCTTCCACAATTTGAACTCGTAACTATAGATCACATAAAGACAATTTTACCGTTGCTCTAAAGCTTCCCTTCGAGCAACTATTGTATTTGCATCCTCTTATTGGTATACAAGTATTGAATAATTTTGCACAAATTTAGAGGAAAAAAAAAATAAACCATCTAATTTTTGTTTTGTTAGAATTTGAATTATGATCTAGTGTGATTTTATTTTAACTCTATCAACTGTTAAACTACATCCTTTGATGCTACAGAGCCACATATGAACTTTATGGCAACAAATACGATATTACAAATCATTTTGTACATAGTTATTTCCTCTCAATCATTTTATGAACAATATTTTTTTTTAATTTGTCGTGAAGAGATTGATATATCTGTATATGGCATGTTTGTGAAAAAAAAAAATCTTGAACTTCGTGTCCTTTCAACACTACCAAAGAATAAAAAATATTGTCGAGTTGTACTTATTATTAGGAAAAAAGTACTCCTACTTAATACTTGAAACATTAACGAACATAAAATTCTAAATCTGCTTTTGGATACAGTACAGCCACTGTATTAACCACACTTGCTTAACCATAGTTATTCCTTCTCCTTCACTTGTCTATATTATATCGTTTACCCATTTCTCTCTACTCGTAGACCCTAGTGTGAAGGAAGGTGGACTCTGAAATAGAAAAAATACTACTCTCCTAGAAAAAATGAGCTGCAATGGGTGTAGAGTATTACGAAGAAGATGCAGTGACAATTGTACCTTAAGGGCGTGTTTGGATGGAATTGACGATCCTCGCGCTCAAGGTAACGCTACTCTTTTTGTTTCCAAGTTTTTTGGCCGTAGCGATCTCATGGCCTTCATCTCCGCTGTTCCCGAAAATCGAAGACCTGGTACTGCTACCAAACACGCCCCTAACACGAACTTCCTTTTTTATTTTTTATTTTATTGAGTTTTATTTTCTGGAAAAAATAAAAGGAAAATGGATATATACCTGGCTGATAAATTGATGAACTTTTCTAACAGCTTTGTTTAAATCGCTGTTGTTCGAAGCGTGCGGGCGGACGGTGAATCCGGTGACCGGTGCGGTAGGGCTATTATCGACGGGTAACTGGCACGTGTGTCAAAAGGCGGTGGAGACGGTTCTCGTTGGTGGCAATCTACGGCCAGTTTTTGCCGGAACTCTCACTCCTACGGCTTACATGGACGAGACCTTCGAATCCTTCCGCTGCGGCGGCGCGTGGGATATTCCAAACCAGTTCTCAAACAAATCCGGATCATTCATTGATGGATCGGATCACACCGATACAACGGACTGGGTCGGTTTGGAGAAGAGATGGAATACGATGTCGTCTATAGGCTCAGAGACTGAGTTATCGGATGTGTCACTGGGTTTAGATAGTGGTAATAAAGAGCCAAAACTTCTTAATCTCTTCGTTTGAGATACTTAGAAGTAGAAAATAATAATAATAATAATAATAATAATAATAATAATAATAATAATAATAATAATAATAATAATAATAGTTAATTTCCAGTTGAGTTTGATGTTTTGAATTTAAACTCAGTTGGAATTTAATCGGAAACTGTAATTGATCTCTAAACATTAGAGATCTTGAGTCAATTCCCTAACTTGGTTGAGACGTTTTTGTGTCACACTGACGTATCTTTTTTGGCTGAATAAATATGAATGAAATAACCATGACTTATACTTTTTATTTCATCTTATATGATTGTGGTGTTGTTACATATTATGCAGTAATTTTCAGTCTCTTGCAAAACATTATATATATATATATATATATATATTATCCAAGAAGTAACATTATCTTTATTCACTAAATACAAGAATACTATAAGTACTGCTGCCAAAAGGAAAATATATTCACATCTATATAAAGTGTAGTAGTAAGATAGATATTAGATAGCTTGAGTAGCACCAAATAGTGTGACCTAGTAGAATAAAATGAGTTGAAAACCCTATGAGCTCAGGTTTAAGTCTCAACAGATACAACATACACTATGTGATTTTTTCTCATATGTCCAAGTCTTAGTAGACAAAGTTATTCTATATCAAGCGAAAGAAAAGAGGCTCTCGCCTCTCGGTGTTGTAAGAAATTGAGGATTTACATGTTTAATTTTCTTTTGGGTATAATGAATGTTAAATGTGATCAAACTAATAATATTTGCATGTAACTATAAATATTTCTTATTAATGTATTTAGTTTTTTGAAACTTGTTATAGAATAAGTTTACACTAGTTTTTTCCTACTTTACCAAGTGCGTGCTCAAAGATAAAGGGTTATGTTTTAACCGTAATACTAGTACCACACAACTAAACCTAAAAGTCTCCCAAGTTAATAAGGATTACGTACTCCAATTGGGTATTCGACACATAAAGTAAATTCGTAATCATGGACTTATTGAAAGCTTAAGCATGAGCTGTCACAATAAAGAGGTAAATGAGACCATCATAATATCTAGAGAACTATACAAATCTCATCACTTACAGTCACACTCAACTAATTGCATACATAAAAGGGTTATACATTGAAGATGGAAAGAAAGAACTCATATATAAGTGGAGAACATCAAAAATCTGCCAAAGCTCCATCAAAGGAACACCTTTCATCACAACCAATAGATAGTCAACATGCAAATGTATCGATAAAAGTTCATTTATAAAAACAAACTTCAATCCAAGGGAAAGGAACAAAGTATTGTACTCTAATAATAGAAATTGACCTATGTATACATAAATTTTCTGGCGAAGGCTGTTCAATTGAACATTCTTGTTTGGCTGTAGGTGCTTGAAGCTTCGCCCACGTTCCTTATTAATATATCTAAACAAGTAAAATGTTATCTTTTCATCTTTTGCAACGTTTTTTCTCTCATTTTTTTAAAGTAAAAAAAGATGAAGTATAACCTATTAATTCTGAAACAGCTCTCACATATACATGTTTCCAACCTATATTTCTTGAGGACATATTATCTCTCCGGTTGGTTATGCATTAACGTTTTCTCTCTATGATGACATGTTTAATATTATAAGTTTTAAATATCTATTACTTCTTTAAATTTCGTGCTCAATTAAACTTAGATCATATTTAGTATTAGGATTTAAATATGTGAATTTTTGTAAGCAAAGCTAATTATTATGTTGGGGTGATATATACATACATGTGCCTTTTGGGAAGGGGAGAATTGAAAAAGGGTTGAAAGAGAGAAAGGAGAATGTGGGAGAGAGAAAGGCGTATTCAAAAGACATGCGGTACACATCAGCATGGGGTCCACATTTTAGCTTCCCACCTTCAGCAGTGGGAACCACGTCACTTGAATTTACTTCCTTCTTCTATTCGGACAAAAGCAGATTCGCTGGCGGTTGCCTCTCGCCGCATCCGCTTGGGTAGGTCCCACTGTTTTGTTTTCTATCCTCCACAAACACTTGACCATGGTTGAGATATGTGGTTAAACTCTTGTATTTTTTCCTCTTCCCAAATCAGCCCATAATGAATCCCCTACAAAAAGGTGCTAAATAGTAAATATAGTTCAAATTTAGCATTTTAGGCTCAATGTCTAGTCAATGTCATAGTATAAAATAATACGAGTTATTAAAAGTTTAGGGTCAATTACTTGAATTTATGTCCAAAGGGTAGCCCGGTACACTAAGCACCCGTTATGTGCGGTGTCCGGGAAAGGGCTGAACCATAAAGGTCTATCGTATACAACCTTACCCTGCATTTCTGCAAGAAGTTGTTTTCACGGCTCGAACCCGTAACCTCCACGTACTTGGGATTATGCCTAATTAAGCAAAATACAAAAGACAATAGTTTTAAAAAAATGTTGGAAACCTTAACTGCAACAAGATTATTTATACATCAAGTTTTAGCAAACCCAGCTTTCGATCCGAAAGCTCCTAATCCCCCGGAGCTAACCAACAGTTTAGTTATGGGTTCAATTGAACTCATAACTTTTATTCTAGACGGTATAAAATCACTACAACTGTTGAAAAAATTGAGCTATGAACCCATAATTCAAACAAGGTGATCGGTTCAATAGTTAAAATCGAAATCTTGAAGTCATAGAATTAAAATCCTGGATCCGCCTATACTAATTCCAATACTATTTCTAGGGCAACCTCATGAAAACAAGCTGGTACAAGCTGGCGGCTACCCAGGAAAAGTGGACTCTTTTTCCTAAACACACTTATTTTTATTAACCACTACTTGATAATGCCATAAATTAAAGTAACCATTCACATTTAAGTGTCTGCACTTGCAAAATATCTTATCATTTGAATATTCTAGTGATGTGACTACCGATTGGGTGGTTAGAAGATTAGATACGGAAAACGTAAAGCATAAATGAAAGATTTCTGCAAATTTCACAAGGCTTGATATGTATGCATTTTAATAAAGAACTAATCCATATGTAATTTAATTTATTAAACGCTCGTAATTTAGTTTTCTTTTGAACAAATTACCTTATTTTATTACATCCGTTAAACGCTGGTTCTACAATTCCTTGTATGAAAAGTTTCAAAAGTTACCAACGCGTGTGCAAAGATCTTGCATTTATTACTTCATCCAACTTATCATTGAAGGGATTACTTTTAAAGATGGAAGTATATATACATCTATAAATGTTCCTGAAGCTAAAAACCGAAGATATAAGCGCTGCTATGAAACATAAAAGCAGCAATTTCCTACTCACGATGCATACAAAAATGCAATTACTGCAGCATTCCACAAGCCTGAATCAGGTAACTCTAGCTATAAAAGAAACCAATTTGTCATATCACCATCACTTGGGTTAAAGAAGTGCTTCCTTTGATGTTAGTGTTTCCGTTAAGCAGTCAAAAAAGATCAGCTTTACACTTCTGTTGTTGAGCAAGAAACCGCGTCTTTTAATTGTAATAAATGTGTCCTCAGGCTACATTCCTTCACCTGTTTTACAAACTTTTTTCAGTTTAGAATAGATTGTTTGATATGAAGTATGACTCAAGCACATTATTCGACTCAAGGGCAACATAGAAATGATCATTTCTCAAATGGTTTTCCTTCAAAAGCTTTAGGTATAAAGGAAATTCATCTTTACCTGTAGAGCAGTCAGTGATGACAAGAGATCGTTACAATGGTCAAGTAAAGCACGCTCGTTACCCACTACATCTGCAAGCTCATATACCATAGAATCCACCTGCTCTACCTGTGCACATATATAATTAACCTTGTTAAAGCAATCCGAGGGATGTGCACTGACAAACTAGAAGGAAGTTTGGACTATTAACTGAGAAGATAAGTTGAACACTAGGCAAACTCTGATCAGAATCCTTGAGAAATGAACAGATTATAAGAAAAGCAGGTTTGATATTCAAGCGCTAAGATTTTTGCTTTACTGATCCAGAAATGAGAATGAAAATTCCAGCTGCAAGCACTAAGGATGAATATTCGTACTCTCTTTCAAAAAATGACTAAACGAGAACGTTACAACAGATACCTCATCTGACAAAGTTATAGGACAAGTAATGAACCACAACCAGTTACTAACAATGTCACAGCAAAACAATTTGTTGAGATTGGGAGCTGCATTTTTGCAGCTTGTGAATAGGTAAAATGTCATTTCCTGGTAGTGTAATGCCCGGTCTATTTCAATAGTGTCATTTCCTGGTAGTGTAATGCCCGGTCTATTTCAATAGTGTCATTCTAGCTAAACTCAGCTGTATCAGCATTTAACAAATCACGTAAATGAATTTCAACAAAGAACACATTTGTAAAAAACCATCGAGATCACTCCTAAACTCAACGATAGAGATGTTCTCTTTTTCGAGAATGAACGATAGAGATGCTCTCTAAGAAAGTACAGCTGCAAAAAAAAAAAAAAAAAAAAAAAAAAAAAAAAAAAAAAAAAAAAAAAAAAAAAAAAAAAAAAACAGAGACCAGAAAGGTTGTAAAGAAAAATTAATGCTGGAATTAGTCCCACCTCATATCATTCAACCATGTATGAGAAAAGCAACAATATCATGCACCAGGATGTTTTGCAAAACAACTCTACCAAAGAGAGGACAAAAAATGATGCTTATTTTAGGGATTTACGCAAATGAATTCCACCAAAGTGGGGAAAGAAAAATGATGCATTTTGGCAAAAAGGGAGAGGTGCAGCTGTGTGGAATAATGACTCGAAGAAATGGAAAGAAGGGACTCAAGCAAATCGAATACGGGACTAGGATAGTTAACTGTGGAAGTATTTGTTTGCTGAAGAATAACGGAAACAACTCAATTTTGCACTCAAACTCACATTTGAGTTACTTCAACTTTCACTCGAAAAGCTATACACTATTTTGGATGTTTCTCCATTTTGTTTTATCTGTTAGTATTTATTTACATATTTTTATGTGTTTTTGTGGTTTCTACAGAAATAATGACTAAATAAAATTAGAGAACTCTTGAGAATTGAAAAAACTTATATCATCCATAGCGTTTCTGTCTTCCCTCAATCCACTGTCATTCTTTATGCATGGCTTTTTGCCTGCTTCAGATGGTATGCTTTTTTACTCAATTTTACTTAAATTTGTCATTTCAATTACCTCTGAGACAGAGATACGCATCTAAAATCAAGATCATGACCATCTAACTAACCCTATGACAGTTTGACTAAGTTGGGTAGAGTTTTGTATTTTGTTTACAGACTCCACCTCGTTTGGGATTAAGGCTTAGTTGTTGGTTGATTGATTGTGTTCTCGATATTTTCTACAGCTCACAACAAGTCTATCACAAACATTTGACGGTTAAGTTGAATTCATAATGTGAATCAAAGATCAAGGCTGGTCAATCACAATCCTCTCTTTTGTGAATTCGTCAGTCATTACAGCATAAGTTAAATAAACCTAAAACAATAGCATTGAAAAGAAGTAGCATGATCACACAGGAAGACACTAGAGGCCGAAATCTAAATGAGAATGGGTGTGAGAAAACACCACAAACTTTGCAAGTGCGCCAATGTTTAAAAGGAGGTGGAGCGAGACAAGAGTTTTATCTAATATACCAGAGACTGAGAGAAAGGGCATAAGCCCCATGAATTTTACATTTAGATATTTTATAAATTACAAAAAAATTCAAAGACCATAAAAATTGTAGAAATTTTAAAAGAATTGTAGAATAAATTTTATATATATATATCACACAAAATTGGAGGGAAAATGCTAGTTTCTTTAGCAAAGTTTCACAAACAGTAAATCTTTCTTATCAAATACTAATTTCATTTCTTTAAAGATTCTTTAGATTCTTCTTTGATCAGTAAAATTTATTGAGATGATTTGACCAAAATGAATTGTACAACCAATTTAGGACCATACTAGACAAAATAGTCTGTTGTCACTTGTCAGTGATCCACCTAGCTCGAATTGCAGGTGGGACTTATCAAGAAAGTATTTCATTCCAAATTCAAATCCAATTAATTCAACTCAAAAGATAACTATGTTATCTTCACTTTTTTTTGTAACACTTCCTGATAAAATTACCTTCCAAATAAAGCTACAAGCCTACACTTAAACGACACTTCTCATTGACTATCTCAGATGTTAAAAACAGAAAAAATTTCTCAAAGGCTTGAAGGAGAGTTTGTTGTAGCCACCTCCACTCGCTTCTTACTCAGTTCTAATTGCCTTTCTCCATAGCTAGTTGGTATTACCTTCCTTTATCCATCTCCAATCACTTCTTACTCAGTTTTAATTGCCTTTCTCTATAGATAGTTAATACTACCTTCCTTTATCCATAGGACTTCCTGATAAAATTAACTTCCACTAAAGCTACTAGCCTACACTCAGACGGCCCTTCTTATTGACTCTCTAGGGATAAAACAGAAAAAAGTCTCTCAAAGGCCTGAGGAAAGTTTGTTGTTGTCATCTCCAATCGCTTCATACTCAGTTTTAATTGTCTTTCTCCATAGCTAGTCAATATACGTAACCAAGGTCCTCCCACGAAGACTTCTTTTCTTCAGTTTTGCTTCTGTTTCTTCCTTCACTTACACTCTCAAATCTTTTGCCTTCTTCCTTATCATAACAATCAACCTTTTATCTCTCACCCAAACCTCATCCCATCTGGCACTGAGGTTAATATTTCCAGATTTTAAACTGATGGTTCCGAGCATCACATCGTTCTTGAGGCATGAGGTGCACTGGTGGCGTATGCCCAAGTGATGGGGAAGTACCTAACTCACTTGTCTCAGGATGTTCTGCCAACGAGGCGCCTTAGGACACGCTTAAACACCTTCCAAAACAGTGGTAAAGGTCCCGCTTTTCTACAAACAATTTAGCGCTCATTCTTCATTTAATGCATTTCTGCAACAAAATAAGCAGTACCGCATATTGTTTAGGAACACTTTCACATGTTGAAACAGATTCTCCATGGTTGAGGCAACAAACTTTTTCCTTTGTTAGGGAATATTTGCAGGACTATTAAGAACATCTTTTTAATTATGGCGGTGTACGGATCAACTTGCACACCTTAACGATTTCCCCCCGTTCCTATATCTCCCACCTGTACATATATCGGGTAACTCTTCCCACCAAAACTTTTGCATATGGAAAGACGTCACCAGCTTTTTGGCTTTGAAACCTGGTCTACATGATCTTTATTCCGACTTCCTCGACTTCTAGGTCCCAACCTTAGTTGTCAGGACTTCTAACAAGATTGCACAAACTTAAGCTAAAAAAGAAATGATAGCAAGCATCTCTCTGCGTGCTTTCTTTCCCCGGCTTCTTAAGTCTTGTGCTAAAAAATATAGATAAACTTCAAGGGGGAAAAGAGGAAAAAATAAAGGAAAAAGAAGATAAAACACCAAACTAAACAAAACTTTAAAAGTAATTTGAAATTGTTCTACTAAGACCTATTATTATCGCGCACCTCGGTTTTATCATCTTTTACTGGTTTTAAATGCTTGCTAAGCATGCAGTTGACCAGTATAGATATTCTTTATGCATTAGAATACCACATTCTCATCGCAGATAAGACACACCCTAGTAAAAATAGGTGGCTATGCAAATTGGGAGAGTTCACAGCCTCCTTCCCCTTCCCCTCACCCCCTTGAAAACAGATAGATCATATTTTACTGATTTTAAATGCTTCCTAAGCAAGTTAGAACACAAGAAAGCATGCAGTTGACCAATGAAGATATTCTTTATGCATTAGAGTACCACTTTCGCATTGCAGATAAGACACATCCTAGTAAAAATAGGTGGCTATGCAAATTGGGAGAGTTCACAGCCTTCCTTCCCCTCACCCCCTTGAAAACAGATACTAGTCCACTGGCCATAACCAGAAAGAACCCCGAGCATTAACATTTGATCATTCAAAGAAAGAATAATAACCTTTGGAAGCAAAGAACACATTGAGGATCCCATTGCCTGCATCACATCAACGGCTGAAGAAATAGCATCTTTCACATTTTGAACTTCTGCCTGCAGATAATAGAAGCGAAAACCATTATTCCTGAAACACTAATACCAATAGGTAAAAGAATGCATCCAGAATTTGCATAAAAGATCATTTCAATTAGAATGAAAAGGAAAAAGTACCCTAGCTCCTTCCACAACAGGGAGACGAATAGTGCTGGCTTCCAGAGCACATATAGCCCCTGACAAGGCATTGCGATGATCTCCATCAATCATACTCCAATTATCCAAACATGGCCCCTGAATTTTACATAAAAGAGAAAGTGATAACAAGTGAAGGTTGAAGTTTATTTATAAACAAAAAATAAACGAATCAAGTAAACAATATAAAAGGTAGTATACGAAATCAAACAAAGTATATATACTTTTCATTTCACACCAAATAAAAAATTATCAGCCAACTCAGGCCAACTTAGGCAGCAAGTACACCTCAGGCGCATGATGAACACCAATATGAGATATAACAGGGCGCATAACAAATGTAATTGGCAGACGTTTTTCCTTCAACAATATATTTTCCACTAGTTACAGCAAATCAACCAAGCATTATGCATTAACTCCAATAATTTCCATGTCATTGCCCCCTCCCCAAACCCCTGGGCCTTCAGTTTTCTTCCTACATAGCAAGTTAACTTTTATTCTCTTCATCTTTGTTTCTTGTTTTTCCTTTTCAAATGCATACATGACTTTGTGGATCTACAAGCAAGAAGTGGTTATCTCATCGATGTATGTGTATCTAAAAGCATCTTTTTGATATCTATCTATATATCTGAAAATAATTTGGTGTAAAGAGAAAAAGAACTGAAAAGAGGGCTTACTTGTCCTTTGAGGACGGCATATAGCTTCATATTTTGCCGCAACAGCAGCAGCTGATTTCTTTTGGACTTAACAGAATGCCGCAATTTTAAAGTAGTCAACCATGCATTGTACAGGTTCCTCTGGTAAAAAGAAAATTTCACATTAGTGACACCAAATCTTCACAGATTCTAATCTAAACCACAGCTGAGTTTCTGTTTACACTGTAAATTCTTGGGTAGAAGAAACTTACACTAATGCGGGTTGATTTGTATATTAAACTTAACTTGATAAATAACTGTTGCTACACATTTTACAGTTTTCATTCTAAAATTTGAAGTTTGGTTTTTCACATTGTTAAGAATGATACATGATTTTATTACATTTACATGGAGTATGAAAGTAAGTGAATAAGTTTAAGAAGAAATTACTGTCTTAGGCTTTGATTCATCATACGCAAAACATGTCTGCTTAGCAATTAAAGTTCCAAGTAAAAAAGAACAACACATATCATGTATTTATTAAGTATTGGAGTTTATACCGGTATATTTAACTATTCCCCTGGCTTAAATCATCAAATTAGACAAAACCCTGAATAGGAACTAATCCTCAAGTATAGAATGTTATAGATCAGAAAGAAGGATATATTTGTTATCCCGTTCAATCACGCACTTTGAACAGTATAACCCCACCACCGCTGGTTGAGGTATTTCTATATCTACTTGAAAACTGAGACAGAAAAGCGAATCTCCTAAGTTTTAGTCTAATGCTATTTCTCAATGCACTTCATCTAAACCGTGAACTGAATTCCTCATATACTCTCCTTATTTAATTTGATCCGAGATAATCCTTCACCATTAATGGCAAATTTTCATCTCTCTAATTACTCTTTACTCTACCAGTATCGGAATTAATGAGCTAAATTAGGTGGAATGGCTATAGACCATAAATCCAATCCCAACTAATTTGGAGTTGAGCCATAGTTGATAGATTGATTTCATTTCCATGAATAACACTCATTACAAAGGTTCACAACTGGTAATAAAATCCAAGATGATGATTCCGGTTCTTTGTAAATTGTTGAACAAAAAACAAATTGTATATGAACTTGTCATCAGCAAAATTTAGAGAATGAAAAGCATGTTAAAAAGTTTTACCTCCGCTGTTGTTGTCTGTGCCTCTAGTGCAGCTTCTGCTCGCGCATTGACGAATCGCCATTGAAGGTGACGATTATATAGAAGTCTTAATTCATGTGCATCAACTATCCGATTCTCTCCTGCCCTCCCTCTTCTTGCATCAGCAGCAAAACTCAAAATTGAGGGCATGATGCATGAGTTATTAGATATTGAACCCATAATACCATTTCTTGTTCTTGTAGGACTTGGCATCCTTCGTAAAGGAGATGTCAATGCCTTATTTGGTGACGCTGGTCTTAGACCCCCTCGAAGAGGAGAAGATAAACCTTTAGAAGCTGGGACACCCCGAGGTGATGTTATGGGGCTATCAATCAGTAACTTCTTATTACCAATTTGCTTTGAAGGAGCCATTGTTTTCAATGTACCATTTTTCTCCACA